GGATTAAATTTTGTTCTTATTTATACCACTTGCAGCCCTACTGAAGTTACCAGAATCATACAGGGTCTAAATCAGGGAAGAATATGACCCTTTGCATTTAAGAGCATGGTTCATTGAATACGAGTGGGCTTTCTTTTATGTTTGAGATCAGCTGGATAAAAAGGAACAACTCCACTTGTCCAGTTCTCAGAGCTACATGACCAATGCATCCTCAGCAGGTAGAACTAAAGAAGCCCATAAGATGACAGAGTGGCAGCTTTGGGAGTGCATGCACAGCAACTAGAGAGCGCGAGGGTAAAAAAAAGCAGTTACAGAATAGCAAATGAGTATTTGGGGAAAGTACAGATAATCACGTGTGTAATGAACTGGCTACTATGTAAGTATGCTACTGCTCTGTACTGGATGAAATCAGAATTGGTTAACTGTGCTTTAGTCCCTTTACTGTTGACAGCTAATAGAGAGACTCACCTTTAGTTTAAGTGATTGATACTTGTAATTTTGGAAGGAACACAGGATGACTTAAAATGTTTGATCACAGCTGTTTCACTGAAGTGCTAAAATTGGAACTAAATCCCTGAGTTATAAGATGCACTTCACTTTTCATAGCTGGTATCCCTCTTCCAAGGAACACATATTTGTCAATAATTTAGATTAGGAAATGATGTCAGTGACCTGTGCCAAATAATTTCTTTTCCATCAAGGAAACAAACTTCGTAAGTCCACTCTTCTGCACATCTTCGAAGCTAGAACAAGTGTAACCTTTGGGTGGGCTAGAGTTCACTTCATTTCCTATCTCTGGTACCTTGGGGGGAGGGAGAGAAAGGGGGAAACCCCAACTCCCATAGAAAGTAGCTAGAGACCCAGAGTTCAGTCTCTAACGATTTTCAGCAAGGACTGCCCAGGGTCAACCTCCCCACAATCAAGTCCCAAAAGGAACTAAAGAAATGAATTTAATTAAACAACTTTATAAAATCTTATGATAAAGAAACAAATAATCTAATTTTTACAGCATGACATGGCTATTTTATAATCCACAGACATTACCTTCACAGTTATACATACACAAATAAAGAAAACAAATTAAAATCTGAACAGTTCAGTCCCCACAGAAATACAGTGAGAAGAAACTGAAAGTTCCCAAAAGCTTAAGTTTTGTTCACCTAACTCAGTTAGTCTTTGGTCACCAGATCTATACAGTCTGCTGAGTCTAAAACAACGTCCACTTGCTTGTAGGAATCTCTTCCTCTGCTGAAATCACTGCTAGCCAGTCACTCAGTTAAGTGTATAGATTTAAAGAAAACCCTATTACAAGAAAATACAAAACTGAGAATAGCAAAATAGAAATGACTCTTTCCCTATTACTACATTTAAAGAAAAATTGGTGAATCAGACTAGTTGAGACAATTTAACTAGAACAGTTTGGCAAAAATCAAAACATTCAAAGCATACAATTAAAATAGAAGTTATTTTTTCCTCCCAATTTCCCCTTACTATAATTAGCATTGCCCATGCTTCCCTGTTGGAGGGTTAACAAAATCATTAACCTCCTGCAAAATACTTCCGAGTTAGGGACAACAGCCTGCTTCCTGCTCCTGGACTGAACCTCTCCTAACTCACACAGGGCACATGGCCGTTTGTAAAGCAGCTGCCCTGCCGCTTGCCCTCATGGAGTCTGACCCCAGCAACAGGGAACCTATTGGAGCATATCCAAAACTACCACACCCAATTCCAGAAGCTTCTGGATGTGGAGTGCTTAATCTGCCTAGCAACAATGACCCAGACACAGCTCACTCCTACCTCCCCGCAATGGGTCTCTTAAAGAGCTCTCTCCCTAGTAGGCACATGGGTTACACAAGCACTCACTGTTACTGATAATGGGAGTGTTATCAATGCAATTCTCCTAATTTCAACAAGTAACATTTCAATATGTGCATTGTTTATTATGTTATGGTTCTGGAGCCAGTTCCACTAAGTAGAGCTAGAGAGCAAGACTAAGTATTTGCGGGTGGGTACAGTATGCTCTGAAATAATGAGACATATTTTCCTCAGTTCTAAAATACAATAATTAGTGCACTGCTATTGGAAATAAGAGTAGGAGACTTATCTTTTCCATCGCCATTAGAATCCTAGTATTACCATCACCCCCACACTTGTGTGTAATGCCTAGAGATCATCTGGGCCTTGTAGCATTATATATTATAAAATCAGGCTGTTCCAGTCCTAACATTTTGTTACAAACTATTAAAATTACAGACCTGACTTTAAGAGATCCCCTGCAGATCACTTTTGCACTCCCTAACGTGCAGAGCTCTGAATCTTCATTTAAGGCCTGATCCAAAAGACTCTTTCCATCAGCTTCAATGGGCTTTCTTTGCATCAAGCCTTTAGAAATAATCTCACTACATACTGTATTTTCATTATATTCAACAAATATTATTTTAACTTTTTAGGATAAGAATAGTAAGAATTGTAGCAAATTTCCCTAATGTGAGTTTGTTCTGCAGGTGATGTGATCCTCCTTCCTTGCCCAGTTGAAGAGAGCTTAATTCTAAAATTCACCAATTATCACTGATTTAAAAGAAAAATTTCCATTTGAGACTTATCCTGAATCTCTTGAAAATAAAGGTTGTATTAAAAGCTAAGACTTATTAGTTATTCTGGCTGTATCCCTAATTTTGCCCTCCCTAGCCTTTTTAGTTTAATTCCAGAGTATACACACATTTAAGGAGGTAAAAGACTTCTGACCTCTCTTGTTTTTAAATTGTGTGTGCAGAGAAAGCACAGATGATAATAACTAACATCTGAGGTGCCATATAATCTGATGCCCTGACTTCTGTGGCTTAACTGCTGAATTTTATAACATTATATAGTGGTTCTTAGTTAAATAAATAATCCAAACAGTCCAGCATTTTATAGGTTATTTATTTTTATGTTGATTACAATGCAAATCTTAATTATGAAATAGTTTTCAATGTATTGTTGTGGTTACAACCTTGTTGAAACTGATGGGTATGAATGTGCTCTTCATTTAAGATAACTGTAAGAGATGTTTAAGGAGCCTGACCTAAAAAAAGCCATAATGGAGTCTGCTCAAAAACTAGCACCATGTGGGCAGAGATTTTTGACTAGGTATTGTTTGTTCGGGGTTGTGTGTGTGAGGGTAAGACAAGCTGGAGGGCAGACATAAATTGAGAGATTATAATAGATTCCTTCATGGGCTGAGGGCCAAAGGATTAGCACACCTAGTGCCCCCTCATCCTCTACTCAGCACGGGTCTACACTTAAAATGAGAGGCAGATTTACAATGAAACACACAATGCCCTGGCATGGCCCCCCCAACTACAGGGGGCCCCAAGGCCAGGCAGCCCAGCACCATCCAGCACCCCCTGTGGGGGAGGGGGCGCTGCGGGGACAGAAGCTGTGCAGGGAGAGCAGGGAGGGAGCCATTTAAGAGCTGTGCTGGAGGCGCGGCGTGCAGTGTGCTCTCCCAGCTGGTAAGCTGGGCTCCTGCTGGCTCCTGGGACTCCTGCAGCAAGCTGGCGCTGGCGGCCCCACACACCACAGCAGGCAGCCAGGTGAGGGGCCGGCTGGGGGTGCGCTGTAGGGGAGGCGTGCGTGCTCCCCTAGTGGGGCGTCCATCCGCGCCTGTCCTGCTGCTTTGCTTCTCTGGATGCCGGGAAGCACAGGTGCAGTCCCTGGCATGCACTGCTGCTGGTGGCCCCTGGAAAAAAGCCTGGGGATGGGAGTGGCAGGCCAGGGGGTCTCAGCTCTCACGTGCTGCTGCCGCCACAGCTCCCTTTGGCAGTGAACAGGAGCAGCAGCGGGGCAGGGACGCATCCACCAGCCAGCCAGGTAAGGTAACCCAGCGGCCACGACTGGGACTGCCCCAGCCCCGAGCTCCCCCCATCCGCGCACTGCCCTCACTCCTGTCCCCCCCCCACAACCCC